TTGCCTTCACTTGAAATGTTCCTAATAGAGCCACCAGACATTTCATAGCCACAGAAAATACGACCTTGTATTAAAGGCTTTGGGGGCAGGAAGACATGGTGCAATCACAGCCTTTCAAAGGCAATAGCAGCAGTACTTTAATGAGTAGTCTCCATCCATGTCTCAGAACCCTTTTTTCCATGTCAGAAGGGAGGGTGAGGTCACAAATATTGTGGGAAAGGCCATAAAGTTAAAAGGGAACATAGAAAACAGAAAATGCCTACCTCCATAGTTTGTCAGAAGATATGGAAAGGGTGAATCACATAAGTGGTTCTGTGCTAAGAGACAGAAGGCCTTCTGGGAAGTCTCAACTTCAGAATTTCAGTGGGAGAGAACATGGTGATTAAGAATTAAAATATTGGCTTTACACCATAACCTCATATATTGGGAATTAGAAGGGACATCTGAAGTTATTTAGTTCAACTCCTTTATTTTACAGAAATGGAAACTTGGGACCTTAGAGGTTAAATGACTTGCCCAGAATCACATAAAAGACAGTTGAACCCTGGCCCTATGGCTCAAAAGATTCCTCCTCCCACACCACACTATCTCCTTATAGGCAAGTCAATCACTCTGTTTCCTTTGTCTCCTTACATATAAAATGGATATAGTAATAAGGTGAATAGATTATTATAAAACACTAGTTAAAAACAATAAGAAATGCAACAGATTAAATCTAGAGCATAGGATGAAATTTTCAAAGTTTTCAGGCCTAGACAAGGCAGAAAGTACAGTGACATACAAAAGACCCCTGAAAGAAAATATGTATCATTTCTTCCAAATTCTAAATAGCTCTAGTCAAACATAGGTCTAACCTACTACAGTAAGTCAATTTCAATTTAGTAGCTCATAGAGTCAGAGACATAGGATGTTAGATCTCAAAATAACCTTAAAGATCATCTGGTGATTTACTGCTTGTTAGACAAGCAAACTAGAGCCTTCAAGTTTTATTTTTAGTGAGCCCAGGGTACTACGACCTTTGGGAAAGTTGTTTTTCTCTTTGAACTTCTACTTCTCCATCTAAGAAAGAAAAATAATGATAATCTCATACTTAGAGCCTCACCTGTTCCATAGGGGCAAGAGGAGAACTCCAATGAGAGTTAGAGTTGGGTTTTGTTTGTTTAGAAGAGTTTTCCAGCTTTTGATGAAAAATGTTTTCATCTAAACCCAATTTTAGCAGAATTATAGAGTTATGAGGGACTTTAAAGATCACCATTATTCTCCCAGGCACCCATGCTTGTAACTTCAGTCATCTTTGGCTGTTCTCTTATTTCTGTCACATATTCAATTTGTTGTCAAGTTTGTTAATTCCACCTGGTCAATATTTCTCACATCTGTTTCGCTCTTTATTCCCACTGCCACAATTCTAGGTGAGTCTTCATTATTTCTCTCACCTAGACTATGGCAATACTCTCCTAATAAGTCCCTTCATCTCTAATCATGTCCTCCTCCAATCTATTCACTTCAATATCCACATTCCTATTACTGATATGATAATGTAGTTACAGTGCTAAAAAAAAAATCAAATAAAACCTTAAATGGCTCCTAATCGGCATCTGAATAGAAAACAAACTCTTTATCATGCAATTTAAGGCTTTCCAGAAGCTAGCGCCATTCTGTGTTTCTAGCATTATCCCACTAACTATTCTCACATACTCTGTGGTGCAGAAAAGCTTATTGGACCATTCATCATTCCTTGAACATGCCTCACATTTTTCTTATCTTCCACTTTCATTCAGTCCCTATAACTGAAATGTCCCACATCTCCCTACCTCTACTTTTTGACATCTTAGTCCTCTGACAAGAGCCAGTTTAAATGTCACCTGATGAAATATATTTCATTCTCTAAGCTAAAAGTGATCTTTCCATCTGTTTTTACCATAGGATCATAGATTTAAAGTTATGAGGGAACTTTGAGTCCACCCAACTCTTTCATTTCACAGATGAAGAAACAAAGAGAGAGAGAAGTTAAGTAATTTGCCCATGGTCACGTAGCTAGTAAATGATAGGATTTGAAGAATCTATGCCCAACACTTTCTTCAGTGTGCCAATAGCTACCTCCAATCGCATTTTATATACATATGCACTTGTGTTGTTCTAACTTTTATCACAGCTATTTTTTTTCTTCATACAGGTTTTAGCTTTTCTACTAAACTGTTTTAGGAGCAAGGACAATTTCCACTTTATCAGTATATTTGGGCCCACTATCTAAGAGGACATTCCATATAATGAGCCCTCAATAATAAATGTTAATTAATGGATTCATTGGTTGATTCAATGCTGTTTCAAGGGAAGAGAGAGGTCAAGAAAATTTCCTCAAGCCCACACCTTAGGAAATCCATTCTGGTGTCTGGCTAATCCTGGAATTCTGGAGTATTTCTGGGGGATGTGAAGCACTTTGTGGTATTAACCTATTTACTGAGATTCTCTAGTGTAAGATACAAATGTTTACAAGCTTCATTAGGACACAAGCAAAGTCCAGTTTGAAGAACATGACGACCACTGAGAGGGAACAAGTTATGGAGAGGACTATCTGGACAACAGTCACACAATCCAGTGAGGGAAGACTGTTGGAAAATTCAATGAAATAGGGTAGTGAGTTAGCTGTTCTAGCAACTCTAAATTGTGACTTTTTTTTCCAGATCCCTTCTAAAAAGCATTACAACCATGGTGTGAGAAAATTTCAGAAAAATTGAGAGGAAAAAATCCACTGGCTATTTAAGATATTTTTATTTTATGCTGACGAGGTACCAGAGACAGATATAGACCTTGGATGACCTGAGAGAGAAATAAACAGATCTCAGGTACCTGGGAGGTTACTTAAACAGACAGATAATTCAGAATCAGATTTTCTTTTTTGACATACCTGCTGCATCCATCAATCTATAGATCACCAAAAAGACAGAAGAAAGAGAAAATGCCAAGAAGAGGAGGGGGGGAAACTATATTAAAATTTTAGTGGGTGGTGAGATTCATGCCCAATTGAAGCTATTTACTTCTTTCTTTGCTTAATCAAGGAATAATAACCTATTACTTTCCTTTTATGAAATTCTCCCCATGAAAATAATTCCACTAGGAGCCTTGTACAAAATAAGTGGGGATAAAATATTTGTTGGCATCATCTATTACTCTTTTTGCCTCTCTATCATGACCTACAATTTAATTATGCATGTTTTAAATGTATCAAGTCTATTAGATCATAAATATTACCAAAGGTTTGCTTTCAGGAATTCCACAAGTCCCCAAAATGACATTCCTATCAGAGTGAAATTCATTTACAGGCAATGGGAGAGTAGTACTGAAGGAACAGCCCTGTTGAAAGACACAGCCTTTTGTCCAAAGGGATTAATCTCAAAGAGTGTACAGTAGAAAGGCAAGGTCCAAAGTTGCTAGAAGGGGTTGTCAAGAAATTATTCACCTGGTAAATGCAATGAAGAGAGATTTGTTTATTTATTTATTTATTTTTGGTGAGGCAATTGGGGTTAAGTGACTTGCCCAAGGTCACACAGTAAGTGTCAAGTGTTTCAGTCTACATTTGAACTCAGGGCCTTCTGACTCCAAGGCCGGAGCTCTATCCACAGCACCACCTAGCTGACCTTCTTTTTATTTTTATTTTTTTTAATTTTTGGGCAATGAAGAGACATATGTAATCAGAATGACTGATTTTGAATTTGGGTTCTGCTACACATTATATGTGTGATCTTGGATAAGCTATTTGAACTCTATGAGTTTTTCATCTATAAAATATTTGGGTATAATAATCCCTAATAAACCTTCTAACTCTAAATACTATGAGCCTATAAACTAGGGACTAGTAAATTCTGAGAAGTCGGTGGTAAATCAGAAAAGAATCTCTGCAGAGCTTATAGGGTCATGGGAGAGTCAAGACAAATCAATTTGAATTTATTAAGTGTTTACTATGTGCCAAGCCCTGTGCTAAATGCTGAAGAGATAAAGGCAAAAACAGTTCCTGCCCTCAAGGAGCTCATAATCTAATTTGTGGAGAAAACATGCAAACAACTAGGTAAAGATAAGATATACTGGGTATAAATTAGAGATGGTCTGTGTAGGAAAGAATGGTTTGTTCATTCAGCTGCCTACTACCTGGTGCTTGTTTGAATACATGCCCTGATCTCAAAGGCTCTTTTTCTTTAAATGTCCTGAAACAAAAGCTAAATATTACCACCAGTCACATGCAATGGGCTGCTCATGGGTTTTTGAGAATTACAGAATCTGAGTTCAAAGAGAACTAGATGACTAAAAGGACATTTTATCCAGCCACTGGTAATCTGACATGTGTTAGAGAACTTCCAGGTGGGTGAACCTACCACTTCCTGAAGCAGTCCATTCCTCTTGTGAATAGCTCTAGTTTATATTTTTCCTCAAATCAAGCCCAAACTTGTTCTTTGGAAATTTCATTCATTACTCCTAGTTTTGCCTTCTGGAGAAGATAAAAACTATTCTTACCATCCTTTCATATTATAGCTCTTCATATATATTTGAGGACAGATATCACATCTCCCTAAATCTTCTCTACTCTGTGCATGGCCCCATTTCTTTCAAACAAGCCTCAATATGGCAAACATCTCAAGACCCTTCATCATCTGGTTATTCATCTCTTGAATTTTTCTAGTTTACCCACGTCCTTCCTTAACTATAGCACCTAGAAGTGAATATAATAAGCTAGACGATGTCTGATCAGGGCAGAATAAAACCAGACTATCACATCTCTGTGTCACTTTTTTTTTTTGAGGCAACTGGGGTTAAGTGACTTACCCAGAGTCACACTGCTAATAAGTGTGATGTGTCTGAGGCCAGATTTGAACTCAGGTCCTCCTGAATCTAGGGCGGGTGCTCTGTCCACTGTGCTCTCTAGCTGCCCCTCTATGACACTCTTAATCTAAAATTAAATTGACTTTTTTTGGCTACCATATCACATTGTTGACTCATGTTGAACTTACTCATGATGTCCTCTGTTTTTCATCCATCTTGCTATTACTGCAACAGCTTCCAAAAGGAACCAAATGAATCTAAAATTAATTTTAGTTTTCAAAGAATATAACTAAAATTAATCACAGAAAAAAATGAACAGGAAAGGATGTTATCAAAAGGTTTCCTTTTTAGACTGTGAAATGAAAATAAATATACTAACAGTCTTTCCAATAACATTGCCAAATTTTAAAATTCAATTTGAACACCAAAATGTAACTGGGGGGGGGAGCAATCTTATTCCATCACTGTAGACTAAATAAGCCATTCTAGGTATGGTATTTGACAAAATAGAAGCTTAAAAGGAAAATGGTGATTAGAAATAGAGGAAAGCCTATGTGATAACATCAGAGATGTTTTGCCACGGATATTGAGACTTCTAATGGCATAAGGTATGGGCTCAGAATTTCAGTTGATCAATATGCCTCACTAATTTGATTGAAATGATCAAATATTATAAAATATGAAGTTTAAGGCTAAAATCTAAGTCTCTTTCTCCTCAAGTAATATGCATAAAGCAATACAATTTTTGATGCATCTTCTAATTTATACATTTTCCAAATTCACATGGACATGAAAATAAAGAACTTATTTGATGTCGAATTCAGGCCAAAAACTAGATAATAAAAACAAACATCTAAGGTATAATACAAATATACTTCTACCTCCAACCAGCCCCATAAAGGGGATATATACATATGTGTGAGGGTGAGTGTATTGTAGGGTATGTGGGTGAGGGTATGTGTAGATATAGTACACACAAATATAGGGTATCCTGATGGGGTGCTTAGGTGCTTGTGTTTGTACCCATACCCCAATTTCTCCCTAGCCTCAGAAACACTGTCTCTGACAACCACTTCCCAGCCCAAGGGCACTGTGCCTAGCACTTATTCATGCATGGGCCTCAGCACGACCTTTATCTCTCTCCCTGGTACAGCTACACAGAGCTGGGCTGCTCAGGCCCCAGCCCTCAGATCATGTCTCTGAAAGTCTCCCAATTCCTTAGTAGTTCCTGTCTTGTAAGAAAGCTTTCCCTTGTTGCAGAGCATTCTCTCATTAAGACAGAGGGAGAGGGGTGCCTTGCCCAGCCCAAGGACTCTTCCTTCTGCCAGACTCCAAAGATCCATACCTCTATCATCTCCCTCCCTGTCCACTATACTCCCTGTAGCTTCCCATCCACAGCCCCCAAAGACACCTGCACCTTTGGATTACCTCCTCAATGTTCCTGGCATTCTTTTCCCATGCTCTTTTCCATACAAACCCTAGCTGCATTCTCAGTCTCTCACAGGATCCTTAAGAATCCTTGTCCGCTGAAAAGTATAACAATAAACTTTGCCACCTTGGCTTAAAGAATGCTTGAGTCTGTGAATTCATTCCAGACGACCTGTCCTGTACTCCAGTCTTTGAGGAGTCACAACCTCTCAACCTCTTACACCGCAACAGCCCCATGGTTTCTACGATACTTTACAGATCAAAATTTAAAGGAGGGAAATCTTATTCCATTACTCCAGATAATCTGAACATGCTTTCTATTTTGATGCATGCCTTCATTCTCAATCACGCCACAATTTTACAACAGAAAGCAATGTTTATTGCAAAAAGGCCTAAACCACTAAACTCATTTCCACCGCTGAGAAAGAATTAGAGCTCAATTTACTCTATAGGGAAGGTAAATGCAATACGGCTACTGCAACCTTCCCACTATATTTATTCTAATTTATTGGGGGAGGGTGGAGACTACTATTTTGAAGGTGAAGAAATCTAGGCCAAATGTTAAATCAGAGGAATGTAAAAGGTAACACACATTTCATTGTCTCAGAAAGGGGAAAAAATGATTTTGTAAAAGCTTTTTCTCAAATAGCTTGAGTATTATACAGTGAGATGAGTGTTACAAGACTTTAAAATGCACACATAATCAAGGGTAATAATGAATATTTCAACAGGCACACTGTTTGAAGTTTTAATTAAAATTAGTGGTGCTATTGATATTGTAATGTCTCATAGTAACATACAGGCAAGTAATCACCTGCCTCCTGAGTGGACTGAAATACACATGCAATTAATTACAGAGGATGTTGCTGCTAGAACCACCTTGGGATTGCTGAGATTTAAAGCAAGAGGCTGCCTATAACTACAGTAAGAACACAACTCCACTAGCACTGGCAGCAGATTAACTATTTTAGTTCACCCAAATGTCACATCCCTCTAGTTTGCCTGGCACCCAAAAACTTACACCAAGCTTTACTCATCTTCTCTAGCATCACAAATATCTTTTCTACTCCTCAAAGGTAAAGATTTCCTTTCCTATAGAATTGTTGTTACTTGTTTCTTTGTCTATTCATACTTTCTTCAGCACTTCAAGAATCTATGATTTTATCCATCTGAGTAGATGATTTTGTCCACTGCCACCAACGTAGATCAGACCTCCTTTACGGCTCAGAGGACAGGATACATGAAGTAATAAAGGGAAAAATCATCTACACCTGGTGTTCATCCTAGTGATGAATCTCTCAGAACTGTTAGGATAACATTCTAGGACCGGCCAGTAGTGCCATTCCACTGACATAATCTTTAGGAACCTAGAGTCATCTCTGTGTTATGATGAGACATTGGAGTAGAACATTCATGTACATAGAGAATGATAGGGTTCAAAGGAAAACTTCCTGGTGAATGACAACACTCTCCCATATAAGACTTATAATGGACAGAATTTAATTGAAACTAAAAAAAACATTTCATTGGTGGTTCAATGTGGCATCCATCTTAAGCTTTGGCTCATACAGTCATAAGTCATTCAAAGAAAATTTATTTACTGCTCCAAATGAAAAGTAATCATGAATCAGAGAACGGAAACAATCCATACAATACTACAATCTAGAAAGAAAGATTTAGCATGATCTGCCAGAAAGAGAACTAGATTCAGAGTCCCAACTTCCCTATTAATATTGATGGTACCACCACCTTCTCAGTTACTAACTCCTCACTTTTACCCCCTATATCCAAACAGTTGTCAAGGCCTTTGTAACATCTCCCATATACACTCCCTTCTCCCCTTTCACACTACCACAGTGCTGATATGGTCCCTCATCACCTCAGGCCTGGATTGTTGCAATGGCCTTTTTGTTACCCCATCTCAAGTTTCTCCCCACTCCAGCTTATCTGTCCATTCAGCTTCCAGGTTGATCTTCCTAAAAAGCATATCTGACCATGTCACCCCCATCTCAGTAAATTCCAATGACTACTTGTCACTTCCAAGATATAAATATAAATAATAAAGATAAAATTCCCAGATTGACTTTTAAAGCCTTTTATAACGTGCCCCCTTCCAACCTTTCCAGTCTTCTTATACTTTATACTCTCCACTTCTAACTCTCTGTTCAGTGACACTGTCCTTGTTTTTCCTCACTTAAGACACTCCATCTCTCTACACTGTGAATTTTTGTTGACTGTTCCCCATTCCTGCAACTCTCTCCCTCCTCATCTTTGTCTCCTCATTTCCCCAGCTTCCTTCAAGTCCCAGCTAAAATCCCAACTTCTTCAAGAAGCCTCTTTCAGAGGCAGCTAGGTGGTGAGGTGGATAGAGCACTCACCCTGGAGTCAGGTGGACCTGAGTTCAGATCTGACCTCAGATACTTGACACTTACTAGCTGTGTGACCCTGAGCAAGTCACTTAACCCCCACTGCCTCAAAAGAAAAAAAAAGCCTCTTTCAATCTTACTTAATGCTGGTGCCCTCCATCTGTTGATTGTCTCCAATTTATTTGTATCCTGTACATATCTTGATTATACATAGGTTTTTTGGCATGTTTTTTCCCCATTATACTGTGAACTCCTTGAGAGCAAAAACTGTCTTTTGCCTTTCTTTGTATTCGTAGCCCTTAGCATAACGCCTGCCACAAATTGTTGTTGTGTTTGTCCTTCATTCTCTAAGAGAACCATGACATCAGAGAAATGATGATGTGACTTGGAACTGACTTTGATTTGAGTGAGGGAGGGCTGTGCAAGGTCACCAGCTCACTTTCTCCTCCAGAGCCATCTGGATCCAGTGGGCCAATTATTCTTCAGGATGACTGGAGATGGCCCAGGATACAATGGGAGATCCTAGCCTTTTTTAAGCTAAGGTCTTTTCAGGTTTTCACTTTGAACGCCCATTCAGTGAATAGGCCCCTTTCAGAAGTGAGTCAAGGAACAGACCCTTTAATAAAAAAAAAAAAAATCAAACTGGGAGGGGAAGACTATCAGGGTTGCTGGCCAAAAGAGAAACAGTTACTATTTACATTCACTCTGAGCAAGGAGGGCCCAAAAAATAGCCATTAAATGGTGCTTGGGATCTATTCTTGTCCAATCTATAAGCTCCAGAGTGAATTGGGTTTAAGGTTTGCTCTTTGAAAGAGAAATCTAGGCAGTAAACCCCAGGGCTGCCACAAAGTAGAAACTTAATAAATGCTAACAACTAGTTGACTGAGTCAGATGATGAGGGTTTGCAATCTAATCACCGCAAACCCAGGCAAAATGAGTTATGCCCCCTCTAGTTTATCGAGTAGGACATCAGAATTTCAACCTTCATTCCTACCTATAATGTAAGCTCTAAAAATGACATTGTAGCCTATTGCATTTTTTCTTTATATCTCCAGTGCCCAGCATAGTGACTGGCATATTTTTTTAAGCATGAATGGCTTCACCTGTTCCTTTGCTTGGTTCATGAATCACAAAGTATCTTTCATTATACAAACACTTCTCAAGTGACCCAATATATTCATACATGCCCCTGCCTCTTCAACTGTAGGCCACATTTCCAAATGTATGTGTCCTAAAGACCTATAAGACCATATTCCCAATTTCAATTCAGACTAGTCATTGCCATAAAATCAGAACTTTAAACACATTTACCCAACTCAGAAAATTTGTTCTTTCAATGTTCTTAATTGCTTGACATATTTCACCACTGAAGCACTCCTCCTCCTCCTCCTGTTATGATTCATACTAATGACTTACATTTTTACAGAAATGTACAATTCACAAAATGCTTTTATATATATATATGTTACTTAGTTGAGCTGCACAAAACCTCTTTGAGGTAAGCAGGACAAATTGTTATCCCAATTTTTCAGATGAAGGTACTCAAGGTGATGGGGTGCTTTGGTGCTTGTGTTTGGGTGCTTGTGCTTGTACTTGTACCTCAATTTCTCCCTAGCCTCAGAAACACTATCCCTGACAGTTTCTCCCCAGCCCAAGGACACTGTGCCTAGCAGCTCTTCATTCATGGGCCTCAGCACGACCCTTATCTCTCTCCCTGGTACAGCTACACAGAGCTGGGCTGCTCAGGCCCCAGCCCTCAGATCATGTCTCTGGAAGTCTCCCAATTCCTTAGTAAGTTCCTGTCTTGTGAGAAAGCTTTCCCTTGTTGCAGAGCATTCTCTCATCAAGACAGAGGGAGAGAGGTGCCTTGCCCAGCCCAAGGAGTTTTGTCCTTGATCAGCCCAAGGACTCTTCCTTCTGCCAGACTCCAAAGATCCATACCTCTGTCATCTCCCTCCCTGTCTGCTATACTCCCTGTACTTTCCATCCATAGCCCCCAAAGATACCTGCACCTTTGGATTACCTCCTCAGTATTCCTGGCATTCTTTTCCCATGCTCTTTTCCATATAAACCCTAGCTGCATTCTCAGTCTCTCGCAGGATCCTTAAGAATCCTTGCCTGCTGAAAAGCGTAACAATAAATCTTTGTTTACTATTACTATAATGCACATATTAAGTGGCAGAAATGGAGATCTCACTCAGAGCTAATGATTTTCCATGTCTAGTACTTTTCACTGTAACATGAAACCTATATCTGTATATCAGTATATATATATATGGGACAGAAAATAGAAATAGACAATGAGTTTGACCCAAAATTAAGCAAGAAGAGAATAGGCTAGATTTCATTTTGGACATTGCAAAGTTCTTATAATGATCATAAGCTATTTCCAAAAATAAACACTTGTCTTTTTAATACCACCATTTTATTAGCATTGTTTTCTGGCTATAAGACATGGAACACAACTATCTTTATAGAGCTAAAATTTAATATCACAGAGAGGACAAGGGAAAGTCATTGTGGTTTGTCCTTCATTCTCAAAGAGGTCCATGACATCAGGAAGATGTTGCCATGACTTGCAAGTGAATTGGATTTAAGTGAAGTCACCAGCCTCACTTTCTCCTCCAGAGCCATTTGGGTGCAATGGCTAGATATAGATCAGGACAATGGAGATGGCCCAGGATGCAATTAGAGATCTTGACCTCTTTAAGTTAAGGTCTTTCTGAGTTCTCACTTTGACTGAGGCAATACCCATTCAGTGATTAAGACTGTTTAGGAAGTGGCCACTCTAATCAAATATATATGTATGTATGTATGTGTGTGTGTGTGTGTGTGTGTATATATATATATATATATATATATATATATATATATATATATATATATATATGTATGTATGTGTGTGTGTGTATATATGTATGTATGTATGTGTGTGTGTGTATATGTATGTATGTATATATGTATGTATGTATGTATGTATGTATGTATGTATATATCAAAGTGGGTGGGGAAAAACCTTAGGGTTTCTGAACAAAAGAGAAACAATTACTGTTTATATTCACTTATATTCACTCAGGGCCCAAAAAATAAGGTGGTGCTTGGGCAGGGACATATTGTTGGCCAATCAATGAGAATCAGAGTAAATTGGGTTTAAAGCGTGGTCTTTAAGAAAGAAATCGCCCGGAAGTACTGGGGTGTCCAACATGGAGATGGACCAGCGGTGCCCTCAGTAGCCCGGCCTAGGCAGGTGCCATGGCCCTGATTGAGGGGGTGGGGGACGAAGTGACTGTCCATTTTGGGGCACTCCTCTGTCTCCTGGTGCTGGGTCTGGCCTGGATCTCTACACATACCTCAGAACAAGGTGATCTGCTGCCCCAGCACTCAGGGTCCCCCTCCCCAACACAGCCCAGAGAGGCTGCAGTATCCACAATCAGCAACAGCCAGGATGCTTCAGGATCTGAGGCCCCCACACTGAGCCACGGAGTACCAAATTTACAGTCAGAGCTTGGCACAGTATCCCCAGAAGCACCATCTCCCAGCTCTCAGCCAGGACCCTCGGTGCTTAGGCCGAAGTTCCTCAACGACTCTGGGCAGGTGGCTAGAGCCTGGCCCCAGGATACCATTGGCTCCTTGAAAAGGACCCAGTTTTCCAGGCCAGGAACACCAAGTTCGACTCATCTACCAAGGGCAGCTTCTAGGAGACAATGCCCAGACACTGGCTCACTTCACCTACCCCCCAACTGTGTTCTCCACTGCCACATGACCGCCAGCGCAGGTCCCCAACACCTCTGCTGCCCATGGGGGTCGGAGACCCGCCCCTCGGGGTTGGGAGTGGTCAATCTGGTGCTCCCCTGCTGCTTCTCATGTTGACGCTGCTTTGGTACTGCCAGATCCAGTACCGACCCTTCTTTCCCCCAACCCCC